TGCACAACCGGATGCACGGCTCGAGGGGCCTGGACACTGTCAGCCGTACGTATGCAAGCCATGGATGGATGCACGAACCGGCAGCAGGCATAGATAGTGAGGCATAGGTAGAATTAGGAGAGCTACGAACGCGAGTCGGTGGTGGTGGTGGTGGTGGAAGACAAGAGAACGTCGGATGGACTCGGGAGAACAGCCGACGCGTGCACGTGATCGCGTTTTGCCCCAAACTTTTCGCCGCGCGAAATCAACACGCGCCACTCGTTGTTGCAAACGAGATCGTTGGTGGAAGAGAGCTAGCAACCCAGGATGGTTGGCAGCACAGAATGAGCAGCCGCACGGTCTTCTCCGGCGGTTGGTGCACATATTGCGCAGATGGCGGGGAAGGACGAGGAGAGCGACGCGCGGCGGCAGCGGAACTTCGGTTCCCAGTGGGAAAAACCCCTATCGCGCGTCCAAGGCGCGTTTGCGCGGCTCGAGTCGCTCGACGCGCGACCGCCATGTCTACCACTTGCAGGCACTACACGCCTCCACACCTCCCACCCCACCTCGACAGCGAGACTGTAGTGCACGAGATGAATTTCCTGAGGCGAATTCCCGACCCGTCACAAGCTACCCGTGCACGCAGTACTGGACCAAGCACTTCGAGCCTGCTCGACGAACGTGGCCCTCATTGACTGGGACCCCCGGCCGCAAAATTTATACACCTCGGTATAGTCTCTCTTGGCGAGTGGCATAGAATTTTCTTTGACACCCGTGCTCAGAAACTGTACACGGGAACGAAATTGCATGTCCAGACTCGCTTATCCTCACCCCCCTCAATGACGCTACCATCATTACGCTCTCGGTCGACCGCGTCTTTCCCTCGAACACGCCCAACTCATGGGACTTGGCTGAGATCTTTGCCTACGCCGTCGCATACGGCCTCTACCTCACCCTGTCGATGTAAGCCTTGTCTGTGCATCTGTCCTGATCTTCATGTTAATACCTCACACAGGATCGCCCTTGTCATCATCATCAAGGAGACGACCTTCTTCGAGGACAAGTTCGGCGTTAGGCTCACCACGTTCTTCCCCATCGACACGAACAACGGGCAGATGCACCCGATCATCTACCTCCAGGTCGCCATCATCTCGCAGGCGCCCATCTTCGTCACCCGTTCGCACGGCTTCTTCATGGAGCGCCCATCGTTCGCTCTCATGGGCGCGTTCTGCTTGGCCCAGCTCGTCTCGACGATCATCGCCGTCTATGCCGACTGTGGCCTCGCCGGCATTGAGGGCATCTCCGGTGGCCGGGTTGGTTTTGTCTGGGTCTGGGTGTGTTCATCTTCCCCTGCGGTGTCGAACATGGCACTTACTTTGATCTTCAAAACATCGCCTGGTTCCTCCCGCTCGACTTGGTCAAGTTCGCCATGAAGGCTACCCTCATCAAGTGGCTCCACGCCCACGAGTACCAGGCCGACCGGGAGATTGCCGCCCAGACCAAGAGGCCCCCCCCCATGCGCACCCGGCCCCGCGCTACGTCGATAGACCAGAAGCCTCCTCCAACCACGCGCCCCTTGTCGTTGTGTGGTACAAGGAGGCTGGCCCTGGTGGTCGTGTTCGCACCAAGTCCGAGGAGCTCTGCGCTCTAGTTGTATCTAGCTCGCACAAGCCTGGGCCATGGTCTCACAACATCCTTGCCGAAGACCGCGTCCGTGGCCACACGTCTCGGTGCACTCATCCGATAGTGTCTCCACAACCTTTACTTCATCCTGGCTTTTCCCCGATAGGTTACCTACTACTTACTGTCCCGATCTTTTAGTACAAGGGCTTCGTCTTGTATCGATTCAGATATGTCAGGCTTCGCAGTCCCTACTTGTATTTCTGTACGAAGAGTCTGCAGGACATGGCTCAGGATATATACTTTGCTAGAAGATATGTACTATGACTACCTACTCGCTATATACATCGAATCGTAGTCTGGTCGTCGCGCCGCACTGCGCGCGACTGTCCCCCACCTTGCTCGCTGCAGTCTCCTCGCGACATGCAATAGTATGGCTTGCACGCCTCACTGCTCTCGGGATGTAGTGTAGGTGTCCGGAATATTTCTCGGTGCACGTACAAACCGGTCAGGTATTTCGACGCGTGTTTCATCGACCAGGTGCCTATACTGTTGCCACTGGGGGCTTTGACTCAGTGTTGCAAATCAAGGATGGGAGGCTGCATAGGCGGCTTTACTTGAGCCTGTATATTGCATCAGAGGCACAATCTGTGCACGGACAGGTGAAGCACAAGCACACCTTGGCCGTCGGTTTCACGCTGCGACGGCAACCCGTACATCGCAGGTAATTGTGTGCTTTCCTGACGGCGTCCTTGGTCGTGAGCCAGAGCATAAAGGACTGCTTTCTCGCTCACGGCAATCGAACATGTTGCTGGTCTGAATCCGGTCTCGGTTCTCTCTGCCGATGGCGTCACGAACGACGTCCTAGTAGTAAATGTGGCTGCATCCACGGGCGGCTCATCGGGTACTATGGTCTTACTTGTCAACTTCCTATGCAATCACAGCAAAATGCTAGACAACATGCCATCGCGAGCGTTACAGGGAGGTGAACCGAGAGGTGAATTGGTATCTCTGGGTCGGAGGCTATCTCCGCGGCGGCCTCCCCCGAATCATCACTTTCTTCCTCACGAAGGTCTTGATGCTGACCCCAGATATCATAGGGAAGCAGAGTACGTGGACGACATACTCTGCAACTACAGTACTTGTCGGCAGGAATGTATGGCATTGGAAACCATTCGGAACGAGGGCAAGAACGCAGACGCGACTCGGGAACACAGCACCGATGTGAACATCGCGGGCATCGCCGAACAGATGTTGCTCACGCGCCGCACGACGCAGACCGTTCGGCTTCCCGACGAACGGCATCTCTCTGGCTATCTCATATCCCCGCCCACGTGCACTAGAGAATCCCTGCCAGTCTGGAAGGTATTTGCCCGGACTCGCGAGGTTTCACGGGCATCTAAGGCGGCATCACCAGAATTCGCGGGAAATTCAGGAGGTTTGACGCGACTTGTCGCCATTGGTTAGGTTTAGGACCGTCGATTTTTGTAGGGCATGAGCGCTAGTCGTACGAGTGTCTAGCGACCCGTTTCTACGATACCGCGAGACCGCGCGCCACCAGGGTCGGAAGCGGAATTCTCTCGCGCTTCTCCTTCGCGCCTTTCTCGACGTCCGACCTTTTTCCCAGATATCATCTATCCTCGCTGATTGTCTACGATAGCCTGCTGCTACCAGCTATGAGCACTATCGTTGATGTCTGATCCGCTTCCGCTGCCCGCCGCCTCGATCTCCTTAACGCCACTTGTCGCCTCCCTCCTCTCGCCTTCCGTCTCGTTCGGCGCAGAGTCTCTCCACTTCTTTCATGCTCCACATTCTTCCGCGGCTCTTCACTCTCCTTCATCTGACTCCCGGACGCTTTTGTACTGCTCTCTCCCTGCCAATGGCTCGAGCCCGTTGTCTTCTGTAGTCACAGATACCTCGCTAATGGCCCCCATGAACGCTAACTTTCTCGCCTTCGTCCTGGCGGATCGGTCCAGGGGCAGGCTCGCCCGGCATGTCGTGCTCGCCGTTCTCTGCCTGTTGCCTCCCTACGCTCTGGCCGCCTAGGACCTGCCTCATCATCCCCGACCCTTCGCGGTAAACGTTGGCGTGTGAACTTGCACGGTGTGAATCTGCAGTGCATGGGTCAGATCCACCGTGACTGGCTCCTCGGGCAAGCTTTGACGCTCCGTCGCGCATGTCCACTGTCGCGTGAGCCCACAACATGAAGCTGAACACCAGCACACGCAGTCCGAGTCTCCCACCATCAAATAGGTTCTCCCAGGACCATAGTCTTATTGACAGGCCGTACAGACACGCAGTGCCGCCCACTGTTTGAACCATGTAGAGCCAAAGTCCCGGTGGAGTAAGTCCACCACGCGGTAGCCCCGCGTTCACCTACGCCCACCCATGATGACTTCGGCGACTGCGACGTCTAACTAGCTCGCGTACGAAGATATCGAGGTTGAACCGCTCTCTCCTCGTGTAAGTCTACTTACACCCACCCTTACACGCGTGGGCTGCTGCGGGCTAAACATTTAATCAGACATAGAAATGACAAGATGCACGTCAAGACGCACCGGACCTGCACTTACAAACTTCACACACGAGTCCAGCAGCGCATGCACCGTCGAAGCGCTTCTCACCAATAGCAGCGCTGCTCACCTACAGCAGGTAGGGACTTCCTCGCGCTCGACAGCCGCCTGCGAGTGCACTCTCCAAGCAACGAAGATCAGCACTGACATTGCATTTTCCAATAAGGCGACGCTAGTGCGTATGTACGTCTCCACGACTCATCCCCCTCCCTGTTCTTAGCGTGAAATCAGATGGCCCACCGAACCGGATACCTATGCGTCAAAGTTGGCTATATGTCTGAAGGAGCACATTCGGAGGTCTCAGTGAACCGATCGGGGACACGTCTTTGATATCTAGCGTAGCATCTGTGACCTTCCCGTGTACGAAGGACTTTGAGGTCTGCTTCACACATTCGTCGTTCGAAAAATTGTGTCTCATTAAGTATGCGTCCACAGATGGTTCGTCCGTACCCCCCGAGCGTGGGTACATTGAAGCGCGTACTACGGAGTACCTCGAATAAATTCTCGTTCATTCCCCGATCGTTCCATGCCAATACGCCATTCCAAAAGTAATATACATCTCACATACAAAACGCACGCGTGTACTACTCAAGCATCAGAAACTTGAGTTATGAGTTACCAACCATCATATACATCGCCCTTCTTCACTTTCGCGTTGATATCTCTATATAACAAGCCAGATGGGTCGGGATGTAGGCGCGTATGGCGCCGTTCTCCTGCGGCGGTGGGCCCGTTCACACCACCTATGCGATAATGAACATCATTACGAAGATCAGAGGCGACTCCGCCGGTTACATAGTTACATGACTTACCTGTAGGCGCGGCCCGCTTGCCTCTCCGCTTCGTAGCGACCCTAGTACCTCTTTGTCCCTTACCAGTCGGTTTCTGAGACCCGTCCGACGCCTTGCTAGTGGTGTTCCGCTTGGGCGTAAGGGTCACGGCGCCCGTCTCAAATGCTGCTCTCTCGGGACTCTGTTCGGAGCCAACGGCTTCTTTCTCTTGTCGGCGCCGCTTCGTCTTTGGCTGATCAATCACCGCGGGCGTAGAGCGAACTTCACTTTCTGAATGTGACGAAGGAAGCATAGATTGAGATGACGCTGATCTCTTCGCGACAATTGTGCGAGCCGGCACCTGCGAGTCGGACTCAATGGCGGCTTCGTCGCTAGCTATTGAGCATGATCGCTGTCTGGAAGACAGAGTGGATAGAGCGGACAACGGACTACCCGTACGCACATCCAAGCCAGTGGGGCTGCAATCTTGCACGGGAAGAGGAGGTAAGGGCGCCTCGAGCGGATTCCGCTCCGCGTCGGCCGCCGCGCAACGACCGTCTACCGTCGGTGGCGGGTCGGAGACTCCAGTGACCGGTAGAATGGGAGGAGATAAGAGGCTCTGGAAGAGAACCGGGTCGTTCTGAATAGCCGAAGTAGACGAGGTACCGCAGGGACCTGCCAACGCAGGAGTTATATCCGCAGACAACAGTGCGACATGTTCTGAGGCATTGTCCTCCGAGTTATGTTGGAAGTCACCGGTCGGACTGTCAAGCTTATCGCCACCTTCCCAGACTTCTTCGATCCTGGCAGTGTCTCCTGTCGAAGAGAAAAGACGTGGCAATGAGAGGGAGGAACTGGTTCCCGCGAACGCCCATGGCGGCGGGGCGGCGGGGAAGTGATGGATCAATGCAGGATGCGCGGCGACGTCAGAGGTGAAGCGGTCATCTCTGAAAGGCGACGCCTGTAGGGTAGACGCAGTCTCTGAGTAAAGGTGCGAAGGGCGTGTCCCTGGAGGTTGCCACCAAGGCGCATGTCTTGAGATGTCGTGCCCGATAAACTCGAAATGATTCCATGCGGACTTATCCCCGCTGTGCGAGAGATTAGACTCATCGGTCCGTTGCGTTGCGACGGTATGCGAAGTCGAGGGCGTGCCGATGGAGGGGAATGGCACAGTCATGGGCCCGCCGTCGGGGAGCAAGGATTGTACGGGCTCAGCAAACGAGAAAGGGAGCATAGCAGATGGATGTCCCATCGCATACACACCGTAGATAGCGTCGTCTTCTATATCCTGAAGAGAACGGGTCGGCTCAGCCGCCAGTGGTGCTTCGGTCGAAGCCGCGAACCAGTCGACCGCGAGGTCGTCGATTCCAGCTGAATGCAGCGGGGAATGAGGTGCTCGCAATCCCGGCGCATGTGAGTCTGGGTAGGGACCGACTGCTATGCTCGGCGGAGGCGACGCCGGTTGAACGGGAACAGCTCGTGTCAGGTCCGAGACGGTTGGTGGCGAAGAAGCATCGCCTTCAAACGCAGTGTTAACATCCGTAGTGCGGGAAACTTCGTCGTTGGGAGATTTCGACATCTTAGGTACAGTGCGAGTTATCGGCTGGCTGCTCGAGGGAACAGTCGGCAAAGTAGGTTGTAGCACCGGTTCAAGGACGATTGCGCTTTCGCCACTAGAGGAAACTGTGCCAGTACAAGGATTGCTAAGTGGGGCCGAGCGCACTGCAGCAGTAGTACAAGTCGGGTGCTCTCCGGCAGTGGACGAGGCGACGCGGGTTGAATCAGGTGAACGCGTGGGGACGGGCAGAGGATTTGCGAGTGACACCGCGGGGATCTGTGCATCCGTCAGGCTATTTGGGAGGGCAACCATCCGCTGCATCGGAGCCGCGTCGGACGGCGTGGTTTGAACTATGGCACACAAAGCATCGGTGCTAATTGCGCGTTCGGGTGACGGCGAACGAGATACGGAAGTCGCATTCTCCACCATCTCTATTCGAGAGTCAAGATCGCTCGACATCGCGCCACTCGCTATTGGCTCGTCGACGTTCATGCCTTCGCCGGCAAACCCAACCGCAGCATCCTGGGCAAGGGCGGGTGTCTCCTCGAGATGTGTGTTTTTGACCAAGCCGTCGATGAACTGCAATATACTATGCGCGCGTCTACGGTTACCGCGAAAGACAGCGATCGGGTTCACCTTGAGAGAGGAAAAGGTTCTCTCAATATGCGCGGTTTCTTCCTCGTAGAAGACTCTCCAGTCTGCGTCTACAGCCCTCGCTAAGCGAGGCGGCGGAGATTCTAACGGAACGGAACTCACCCGACGACGCGAGAACACTTCCGACAGGTCCTTCCGTCACATCTACATCCGATTCCTCGTCCGAGCTATTGGTTTCGCACGACAAAGAGGACGTGACCCCGGGCGGCGTAGACGCCCGTTTACAACGCTCGACGCGGGGAGTAAGGGCAGACGCCGCTGTCCGCGTGCCGGTGCGGCTTCCGGGCAGTGTGAGAAGCGTCACAATCGGCACTACAGAATGACCGCCATCATCATCTCCTTTCAACCATTCGGCAATGTATCGGCGTTGGTCTACTACGCTCTGGATGTTCGAGACGGTAAGCTTCAAGTTGAAGTCTGCCCCGAGCGCATGAGGAAGACGCCCGGTGTGATAAATATTCGATCACGTACGCACGATGTGCCACCAGCGTACCTTTCCCAGTGGCACCTCTGCCATGAAAGGGTCTTCGGATGTAGATACGATGCCAGGAGATGAGCCAAAGTGGTCTCGTAAAGCGAAAGCCACATCTTCGGTACTGGAGAGTGCCGATAACAGACCCTGTCGAAAGCGTGCGTACTTACGCTGTGTATGCACCGGCTCCTTGGGAGAAGAACCCTCGTACAGCACCTGAAGGAAGAATGAGATATATAGAGCGCTCGAGGACGAAGCAGTAGCGCACCATTTCAGTGTGGAGTAATTTGCTATATTCCACAAGCCTATGGTCACGATTCGGGTGGTCGCAGTTTCCAAGGAATAGTTTAATCTCCTTGTAAGCCCTGGCGAAGCGATGACCGAATAATCGACTACGCGCAATGAGTCGCTGTTCATTTAAGAACTGCGTATTCGCAGCGTCGATGACGAAGACGTCGACCTCGCTCGGCTCTGAGGCTGTGGGGCCGTGTATAAGAGCGGGTCTAGTACGAGACATGTCTTGACGGATGAAGATGATAAACCGATGTGAAGACGCGGTGGCCGCGCCCGCGGTGACCGCCACCATCACGCGGGCGTGATCCCGACCGAGCTCGCGGCGGTCACGTCATTACCTCTCCCCGCGCTGGCAGAAGAAAGCCTATAGTAATTAACGATGAGAGCAGCCAATAACTGTGGCACTCCAGGAGGATTGAAGACATTGGTGACGCAGAAGGCAGCTCCCGAGTCGTAACCGTAGACTATCTCCCAAACAGTCCGCCAATGACGCAATATACGCGGGTGGTGGTAAAGCCATCTGTGCTCGCACCCTGGTTTCCAGACTTCGTGGTTCCCTCTCGCACCTTCTACCGCGCATCCGTGTTCACTTCTCGCCCCGCCTTACTTTCGCCCCGCTTTGCTTTCGGACCGTTTCATTCTCTTACCTACAACACGATGCATGCGTTGAAACGCATGTTCTGTTCCTCGTCACCTTCTATTCAACGCTGGGGAGATGGCGCCGGCGGGACAGCCCGAGCGACCGCCGCGACGTTCTCCCTTCGTACCGCATTTCCCTGCGACGCGTCTTTTCCGGTCAGCTTGAGATTTCCTTCCCGACAGTACATCGGCTCTCTTCCCGTTTGCAGAGCCTCGCGCATGCGGAATTGTTTTCATCGCCGCGGTTTCCTCTCCGCCGGCGTCCCCGCGTCGCGCAGATGCCGAGTCCGCTTTTTGCATTATTCTTCTCAAGGGGCCGGATATGGGGACGTTCTAAACCGCTTCTGCGTATAATACGGAGAAAGGTCGCGGGAAAGTGCCGCGAAAGGGGAGAAGAGGGCGCACAGGCGCGACGGAAACGCGTACCAGACGGGGCGTGATTGCCGAGAACGTTCGGTCAGACGACGGGCCTTATCGAGTGCATTATACGTGTGTTTCAAGCCGAGATCGGCAGCGTTGCACTGTGCGGAGATGGTCGATGGCTGCTTCAAACTGATCTGTGAGCTATTTGGCTTTCTTGTGCGGGTAGTCGTGCTCTTATGGAATGTGATTGCTGCTGCAAATGAGCAATTGCGGATGATATAAACGCAAACGCTATCCAGGGAATGGAGTTCAATAATTCTATCAACGGAAACTATGAGCGCGCGTTACCTCGACGTTTACGTCTTGTTCGAAAACGCGAGCGTCTGGCACAGTAGGCATATGTCAGTGGGGAATGGGTAACTGTCAAGCGGGACTCATGTACTAAAACATTTGCTACGCCCCAGTCACCTTCGACTGACTGGGTCTCCGAGCGCCGAGGAACTAGTCTCCGACGGGCAGTTAAGCGACCCGTAGGTATCACACCGTAAAGAAATCCGGGACCGACAGCTTGGTAGCATACGTATACAACAAAAATGGCACAATAAGCGAGCGATTTATGGGATGGTGTAGTCCGCTCAACCGTCATGAATGTCGTCGAATAATCAGCGACCGAAATGAAAGTTCACGAAGCCGATCACTCCCTGCGCCCGGTCGGCGATGACGTTCGACGGCGTTTGTGGGGTTGCCCCTCGGATGATACTCCCGGGACAAACTCCATCTCGGAGCCTCGCCGCTTCCTCGTCATGTCGGGAAGCCGACCGTCGCTGGGTGTGACTTGCACGTCTACGTCGTCGCCGTCCGCCCTGGAACGTTCTCCGATGCCAGGCGCAGTTCCCGACGGCACTTCTGCACCGTCTGGCGCGTTCGGATGAGCGGAGACACGGGAAGCTGCTCCCGGCACCGAGACAGATGCCGGCGCTTGCGGGACCGCCGTCTTCTTGCTGCTAGTAGCGGCTTCACCTGTAGGGGGCTGTAGGGGAAGATGCGTAGTTGTCGCGGGACCGGCTAAGTTGAGAGCAGCAAATTTGGCCTGCACCAGCGCCTCTACCTTGGCTTCTAGACGGGATTCCATCTCAGCCTGCGAGGCTTTGGTGTCTGCGCGAATCTTCGCCACTACGTCTTCCCCCGTACGTTTCAGCGAGACTACTTCAGCTTGCACTTCCTTCTTGAAACTCTTTAGACTGTCGTCATGTAGCGTTTGATGTTCCTTGCGACTGCGTTCGACAGCCGTCCGCAGATAGGTATCAAGCATGGCATCCGCTCCTCGAGCATTGCCAGAGCGGGGAGTCGAGGAGTCTCCCTCGAGCACAGTCGGCTGCTCGTCGACGGAAAGGGTTCCAGAAGTCATGACGTCAGAGAATCCGTCGGTGAAGACTCGCAGGTGTGTGATGAACGCGTCCTGCCGAACGTTGTGTGCCTTGTTCTCCTGAAGGGCAACCTTCACGGCTTCTTCGATTCGTGTCACGTTGCCGGTCGTTGAGCGCGCGTACTCGCGTAGACCCTCCAAGCCGTTATTGACACCGATGACACCCACGTGAAGAGCGCTCAAGTTTTGCGAGGCCGTCGATGCACGCTCCTGGCACTGTTCTTGATTTTGTGCGAGATGACGCTCGATGGCGGCCAACCGTTTTTGGTCTTCGCGACGCAAGTCTTGAAGCTGCTTCCATATCACTGGAGCAGAACTCGAGCGGTCGTCCTCAGCCTTCTGCGGGAGCGGCAACGGGAACTTGACTAGGCGAGGAGCATCGCGACCTGTCCGTAGCGGTTGTGGGCTCGGGGGTTCCATTGACGCTACGTGACGCCCGCCACGTGCCAGGTCAGGATTAGACTGGACAGAAGGTTCGCGACCATCGACCTCGTCGTGGCCGGAGGTATCCATGGGCTCAATGCCATGCACGTTCTCTGGGTCGGCGATCAAAGACGATGCGCGCGCAGGTCCGCGCACAGATCGGAACGTGTACGTGGGCAGGGAGCCAGGGTTGACAGGAGCCGGCAAAAATGTCGAGGAGGCCCCTACAGGAGCGCTGGCCACCGCCGTAGCGTTCACCTGATTATTTGCGAGCAACGTCGCCAAGCCATCTTGGTCGTGACCGGAGTTCGAAGGAGTCGGCGGCGGGGAGCTCGCAACCCGGTTCGTGGCGCTCGGTTTGATCTTCGCATGCGATGGTACGGGAGCGTCGTCACCCGGTTGGCTGAGTCGAGGAGCAGACGAGGTGCGTTCCGGCTCGCCCGTATTCGCCCCGACAGGAAACGATACGTTCTCAAGCTTGCCTAGTTCTGCCTTTCGACCCCTGCGCGTGCTCCGGGCATCGGCTGCGGCTGCAGGAGCGCCGTTGTCCTCTTGTTTGATGCACTCTACACGTAGACAGGCGTTCTTTGAGCAAGAGACATCCCTTGGCTCATGCGTGGCTCACGTACCTCCAATCTCGTTGAGTTCCGCGGGCCAAACTCCACCGAAGAAAAGTATAAGCCGACATATCAAGTAGAACCGCAAGATACCCTTTGGCTCGAAACGTGCGTCGCGCGCCTTATTTCCTCTTCCCTCGGAGGAGTTCCCAGGTCGTGTACCGCCAGAGCAAGTCCCGTGGTGATTAGCGCAAGCGGCGCAGGCCTTCCGATTCCTATAGATGCATAACAGCTTGTCGCGCTCGCACGGCTCACATTGGATCTGGAATAAGCCGTCACGTTCAACTCCATACCACTCCAGTGTAAGCGCAAGCTCGGAGAGACTAGTGAAGGACGTAATGTCGCCGTGTTCGTTTGTATGTCGCGCCACGATATCTTCGATCGAGAGTAGACCGTCTAAAGGTATGCGCGCGGGTATGCCGCGGTTATCGAAGTTGTACCGACCCTTGCGTTTGAGCGCATTCCACCGGGTGACTATGTCTGCAGGGATCGAGCTCGCTTTGGTGCCCACGGTCCTGCGCGGCTTGACCTCGCGATTGGCCGTTTCAGTAACGTTCTCGATTGCGGTATCGTGGCTATCGCGCAGTCGCTCGTCGCCGCCTCCGGCGCCACCCGCCTCACCCCGCGGGGCGTTATCAGGGGTTTCGCTGCGCCGTCTCTTTCCCGCCCCGCCGCTTGCGCTGAGACCTGCTCCATTACCGGTGACCTCGGTCTTCCTTTTCCTCGACCTTGTCGCCGGCGCTGTCTCTCCCGCGTCATCCTCGGCCCTCGGCTTCTCCTTCGCGAGCGCATTTTTCTCCGCCCCTTCCCGCCTCCCGCCCCCCCTCTCCGCTTCTACTGCTGCCTTCGCCCTTCCGCCACTTCCTCCACCACTCTTTC